TTTTAAAGCCAACTTCGGGTTATCAAAGGATTATAGTCACTGTGATGATCTGTGACAGAAATTTTTCATAAGACATTAATATTACAGGTAATGTCTACTGTTAAGTATTGTAAAAGTTATGCAGAAAAAATAGCTTTTGGAAGCCATAGATGAAGTATCAAGAAACAGGTAAATTTCGTTAGAAACAAAGAAAAGAGTGCTGAACTGTTATGACAGTGAATAGGGGACAGATTCCTCACAGATGAAGTGGGGGGGATGAGACCAAAGATATGTGATCCTACAGAAGGATGATGAGAATACTGTGAATGGAATATATGAACAAGAAGAAAGTTTGAAAGAAAATGGAAACAAAAAGGACAATTGTACTTAGAAAGAGACAGTTGAAATTTCTAGGACATATAATGAGGAAAAATGGCGAACATGATACTGGTAAGAGAGATAGCGGGAAACAGCAAGTTACCTACTTAATGAACTTGTGTAAATGGATAACAGAAGAGCGAGTGGGAGGGATGGTAAAGAAATGAACATCGTTTACAGCTACAAAAGATAGGAAGTCGTGGAGATCACTGATCACCTATGTCCCGAAGGAACACGATAAATCAAAATGAAAATTGTGGAAAAAACTGAACATTTGATCCTTTAGTATTTTTACATTTTTTTAGATTGACAAACATTGCTTAAAGCTACAAAGGTTAGGAAGTTGTGGAGACTCATAATCGCCAATATTCTGAAGGAACACGGCAAATAAAAATAAAAATTGTAGAAATAACTGAAAAATTGATCCTTTGCCATTTTTACCTATTTCAGGTTGACACACATTGTTTAAAATTGCAAAAAAGATGGCGATGTGGAGACCGATAATCATCCATATTTTCAAGGAACACGGCCCATAAAAGTGAAAATTGTGGGAAAAACTGAAAATTTGATAATCTAAAAGGCTTACTTTTATTCCATAATAATATTCGACTTTATGAAAAAACTAAATGCGCCTTTAAAGTTTCGTTGCATATTCTATATTCTCTAAATCTGTTACCAACTATTGACCATTTTATAAACACATTTGGGCAACATCTTACAGTAAAAAAAAGAAGTTCCCTAATATGGAATATGCAGAATATGCCTTCAAGGATTTTAAGATGGGATCTGGTCCAAAGAATTCTTTCGTAAAGGCATAAATGATCATGTTGGAAACGATGTATAGACTAAAATGGTTTATCTTTTGATTGATGACGTTACTTGTGAATAAATCTGCTGACAATTCATGTTAATATTTGAATTCGATCATTATTCTCCGAATAAGATAAGATAGATATGATAGCTAACTAAGTAAAGATAGATGCGTTGATAGGCGGAGAAAGACAGATATGGAGGTAGATTGCTGGGTATAGATAGACATGAACTGAGGGATACAAATACGATCAAATATAGATAAAATGGAAATATTGATATAAACAGCGCGAACACATATCGGTGTATATTGGCATCTGTCCCACATTTAAATCTATTTCATTAAAAGTTATTCACCACTTTCTTTATTTAAGCGCTTTTTTTTTTCCTTGAGGGACGGGAATTTGGAGGAATTCAAAAAAAATCAATTTTTGGCAATATTTTATCTTATCTTACCACGAAATAGAAAAAAAATCAAATCATATATTTTGGTATTTACTAAGCTTAGACCAATTTGGCACAAATACAAATACAAAAGGAAATGGGTGGTTAAGATAATTGTATAGCGCCAGTCTACAAAGTTCGAGGATCTATCAATTTGTTAACTTGTCATGAAGATTAGCATTTAAAATCCTGGTGTTATAGTGTAAATCGAAAAGCAATTACTGACGATGAATTAGTTTACTATTTCAGTGAAGATGTAAATCTGTTAAATTAGGAGGTTGAATTAATAAGTCCGTAGCCTGACACCTAGGTATGCGCTGAATTTTTATGAGAAATTTTCAAATATACTGTTCCATCTATATGATTTATATTCACTGTTGAATTAAGTGCATTAATAAGGAAGGAGATTATGCTTAAAATATTTGTTGTACAAAATAAATACTTTTTTCATCATTAGGCTGCGGACTTATTGATAAGTTTATGTATATATACGTAGGAATTATTGAAAGGACTCAGCCATTTTGAATATTTTAAGACCCGGATGTGCGGTCCTGATGTAACTTGGTAACACTTGAACACTCTCCTGTAAGGTTGTTCATTTGGCAATTCGGCACTATTGAATGAGATTGTGAATTCTTTTAAAAGGTCGCATGGATATGCACCAGGTTTTACCATTTAGAAGATTAACAAGGCTTTCAAGGATGATTTAATGAGTGAATCAAAGATAAAGCTTTGGTGCCAGTACTTCAAAGTAACTTGATAACAAGTTAGAGGAAATCTTATCGCACGAGCATGAAACGACACTCTTCTATTGGGTTACTCACTTTGTAGTTTGATACTTTTAGTGAGCTTGTGTATTGTGTGACCATTGAAGATGCATCAAGTTTCACTTGAAACTTGGACATTTGTCTATGGAGACTATTTAAATGATTAAGATGGTTTTGGGCAATTATACCATGAGATAAAGTCAGATGGAATTTTGGTACCAACTTGGCTGGGAATCCGTGTATAATTCATGTGTGTGCATCGCACAAACGCTACTTTGAGAAGACTGATGCACGTGAGGCTTGCTTGTCCAATGAAAAGCAAAGAATACGAAAATAAAATTACCAGAATTATATGTCCTCCTTATTTCATTTTCTGATGAAGCTTAAATGAAAGCGAAACATGTTAAATTTATAAACGTTTCCTATTTGTTTCTTATCCTATCATTCTAATCCATATTTGATCTATATTTTATCTCAATTCACACACACACACACACACACACACACACATGTATATATACATATATATATGTATGTGTAGAGAGAGAGAGAGAGACAGACAGACAGACAGACAGACAGAGACAGAGAGAGAAAGAGATATTGACTAAGTTCCAGATGATGATGGTAAGAAAAACTATGTTGCGGTATCGTTTTTAATTGCCTTTTCCAATAATGTAAATAAATATTCACTCTGGGCGCTTGCTCTAAATGATGGCTAGCATATAAAATTCATAGATCATTACAAGTGTATTATTTTCAATCCTCATTGGGTACCACACTATTGTTTGTTACTGCTTACAAAACAATTTTACATGTTGAACATTTATATCGTCTGATATCTTTTTTTTAACATTTAACAAGTATAGCTCCATAAAACAGTGTAAATTCGGTTACTCTAAGTGGCATTCTGTTGGTGAAGTAAGTTCGAACCCCGTTGGGCACTGCGAAATTGTAGTTAAGTTGGTGATAATCTACTTTATGAAGATTTGATAGTGCTTTGGTTAGCGTACTGATCTCACAAGAAGCCATTGTGAATAAAATTATTCTTACTAAATGGCCTGTGAATTTGGTCCTGTTATGGAGAAAAAATCACGAATTTATTACAGGCTTCATGTACAAATCAAACACCGTTTTTCTGAATTTCGTGAATATGACACTATATTCTTTAGGTGTGTCAGGAAAATCTCCAGTCATTTAAATTTAACGAATAAAAAAAACAAACTACCTCGGGCAATATCGCCTTAGTCCACTTCAGGGTAGTCACGTTTGCGATCTCACATATCTTAGCGCCCCTTCCACATGATATGTTCAAAGCAGCAACGATGATGATGATAATGATGATGATGATGATCCTAAAAATATATGGAATAATGTAAATAGTTCATCTCAGGTGTTGAGTAATAAAAAAACAGTGGAAAGCTTTTGCGTGCATCTTTTGAGCTTGTATATGCGTCGTGGTTGTGTGCGTGCAAATTGGTCTGTACGGTTGTCTGTCAACAATAGAGGTGTACTTGATGACATCAAATTCAGACGGTTTCTATTCAGATTCTTACGGCTATGATTAGTGGAGTCGGCGGGATTGGCCAAGTCGGGGGTGGGGGGTTCCTATTGAAGGAATCTCGTTGCAGAAATACGCAATGATGGTGGAAAACAGGAGAAAGAAACAAAGAGAAAAATCGAAAGAAAAATAATGGAGGAAAGACAAAAATGGTGGGGAAACAGAAGAAAGAAACAGACATATAGATAAATAAATAGATAGGTAGATGGCACGCGAGAGAGAGAGAGAGAGAAAAGAAATAGTTTGGGAAGATAAAAGAGAAACAAAAATTCAAAGTAAAATTCTAAATAAAAAAAGAAGCAGAAGTAAACATGTAGAAGAAAAATTATGATGAAAGAAAAATTAAAGAAATAAGATTGAGAGAACTGAAGAAAGAAAAAGGAGATGAAACGTAAATGAAGAAAAAGGTGAAGAAATAATTAGAAAAATAAGGATGCAACTATAAAGAAAATGGTAGAAAGTGAGAAATTACAAAAGTAAGAAAGGAAAGATAAAAGGCAGAGAGTTGTAAAGAAAGAACAAGAAAGAGGGCCAAAAATAGAAGAAGACAAAGAAAGAAAAATGCAAAGCGAAGTAAGGAAAAGGAAGAAGGAAACGTATGAAAAAAAAGGAAAAGTGTAGAAAAATAAAGAGAGACCAACGAAAAAGAAAGGAGAAGAAACCAAAAGAGTGGCAAAAAGAAGGGTTACATAAGAAAGAAAAGAAAAGAAAGAAGATAAATAAGAAAAAGACAAAGAGGAAAGACAAAAGAAATAAAATTCTCCAAGTCGATAAAAGAAGAAAAAGAAATGAAACAAACATAAAAATAAGAAAAAAAAAAAAAAAAGAAAGAAGAAAGAAACACGGAAAAACTAGTGAGGCTAAAAAAAAGGAGGAACGAAGGTATGAGAAAAAAAGAAGAAGAAAAGAAAAAGTGAGAATAACAGAAAAGAGATTGTGGATGAAAAGGAAAGAATGAAGCGACAAGAAAAAAGGAACGAACTAAAAACGAGAGAAAGAAAAAATGAAAGAGAAACAGCGAAGAAAAAAAGCAATCGCAGACAATGAAAAGACAAAGAGAACATATATGGACAGAACGAAATTAAGGAGTAATTCTTACAAGAAAAAAGCTACAAACCGCAGATATTGATATATAAGTCGATATCGTATATTGTTGACCATTTCCTTGTTATCTATCTATCTATCTATCTATCTCATTTAAGTTCTCTCTCACGTTCATCGCTACTTGAACTTGGATCAGTCAAAGCAAAGCTTCACCAATCACATGATGAAATACAGTTTAATGTCGCCAGAGCAAATTGGGGAGAAATTCATATAACTGCTAACTAACCTTTCAGTTCAGTCATCATCAGTGCAAAGCTACAAAAATAAGTCATTACTAAAGACCAAACTCACTACCAATGGCTTGCAAGTTAAACTTGCTGGCTACTAAACCACAACAGGTCATTTTTACTGTAAACAAAGGAAAAATATCTTAACTCAGAGGAACCGGCTTTGCTTCTTTTATGTGACGTGTCCCTTCAGGACGTAGGCGATCATGACCCGCCACATCTTCCAGTCCCTTGAAGCGCTTAATAAGTTTTGTCTTTGTGCTATTTCTCTTAAACCCTGTTTTATTCAAGCTCATCAAGTATGTTACGAGCCGCTTTCCTCTGTCCCTCTTTCCATCAATCTTTCCTGTGAGTATCAGATTTTCAAAGCCTTCCTTCCTCATTACATTTTTCCAGAAATTTAAACTGCCTCTTCCTGATGATAAGTATAAGATTTCTTATTGTTTCTATTTTTTTAAAAACCTCGTCGTTAAACACATGTTCGGTCCATTTTATCCACAACATCCTTCTGTAGAACCACATTTCTGTTGCTTTAAGCCTCATCTTCATCTTTGAGGAGATTGTCCAGCATTCCCGGCCATAAAGGAGGACAGATATCATGCAACAGTTCAGTACTCTTTTCTTTGCTTCTAACGAAAATTTTCCTGTCTCTTAATACTCTGCTTAGTTTTTGGAATGCATCTTTGGTCATCCCAATAAGTCTTCGGATCTCAGTGTCGTGCTTTCCCTCCTCTGTTAGAACACTTCACAGCCAAAGTAAATGTCAGTATTCCAATTATTACAAAAAGGCTTTGTCAATTTAGTCGATTGGCGCAATACAATCGTGCTTGTACCAAACTAAATGAAGACAGCTATGAAAATGAAAATACTTACTGTTAAGCAATGCTCATCAATTTAATGTTGCAGTTCATCTCAAGGTGATAGTGTTTCTAAAACGCAGGGGGTTACTGGAAGGAAAAGAGAATGAAAAGACTTTAGAAGGAACCGAAAACTCAATGCTAAACAAGATACAAGAGATAAACGTCTAGTTCTGTTAAAAAAACTTGAAGGAGTGTGAACCGGGCAGTAGGCAAACCTATCTACTTCTGTTTTTAGCAAAGTACAATCAGTCTTTGCTAGGTTTCTATTTTCGATGTCCCAGTATCAGTAAAATCTAAAAAAAAGCCATAGGGCGATCGATGGCTAGCAAGACAATTATTATAATAGTGAGTTCAAATCCTGATGCGGAGATTAATTATTGTGGCCCTGTGCCAGACTAAGCGAAGAAGTATGTTTTCAGCCAGTGGTCTAAATGTGTTTTGTTCAGACTGAAAAAAAAAATCAGTCGATTCAATGATGTTTATAATCAAGTACACTTAAGAGAATAGTAATACGTATACGTATAGTAAAACGGATGCCATAGTGGAAAGCGAATTTAGCGTGGTGATTCCAAATCTCGCTCGATTTTGTTTAGTTCACTCTGAGCTAATACGTTTGGAAAAGGCATGGATTCATCTTCCTCCAGCTATGGGTTAAATAGCGGGACAGGCTGGATTCTCTTGCCTAGAGGTGGCAACCAGCCTATGAGAAGGACAACTCTAAATTCAAAACCAGCCTGAAGCACACCAATTCTACTGTGGCTGCAGTAAATGTGGTGCCTTTACGATCCTAATGGGTCACACATACACGCTCACACACTTAATAGGAAGAACATTCATTCGAAGGCTAGTTCCCCTTTCAGTTGGCAGTCAGTCTTGGAATTCCACAACAAACATAAACATCTATTTGACGATAGCTGTGTTGTTGGCAGACAAAGGGAGCTTATTCTTCAGCAATTAAAGGCGAATCTAAACAAAGGACGGCGTGATTAATTTACAAAGTCGTTGCACATTGCCGAATGTTTCTTTTTGTCATTTCCTCTGTTTGTTGTTGAAACGATGGAAAATCTGGTATTTTTCTCTGCCATTTACTTCAGTCTGTTTCATTTCTCTTTCTCAACTTTCATTACAATTTCTATTTCACGATTCGTTCAGCCGATAACGTCCTTGGCTTTCTGACATCTTTCTTTCTTTCTTTCGTCTCGTTCCTGTTTACTTCTTTTTTATACTATTCAGTCACATGTTACTTTTTCATTGTTTCCTTCTTATTTACATTTTTTTCTTCTTCTTCTTCTTCTTCTTCTTCTTCTTCTTCTTCTCCTCGTTCCTGTTACTTTTTTATGCTATTCGGTCTCGTCTTATTTACTTTTCCCTTCCAATTTCTTCTTCTTCTTGGTTTTCTTTCTTTAATTCTTTCTTCCATCTATTTATTTTTTTCTTCTATTCTTTCTCGTCTTATTTTTCATTTTGCATCTTATTTAATTTTCCTCCCAATCTTTCTTCCTTCCTTCCGTCCTTTCTTCCTCCCTTCTTTCTTTCTTTCTTTCTTTCTTTCTTTCTTTCTTTCTTTCTTTCTTTCTTTCTTTCTTCTCCGGTCTACTTCTTTTTTTCTGTTCTTTTTTTCTCGTCTTATTTTTTCATGTTTCCTTCTTATTTACTTATTTCCTCCCTGTTTCTTCTTCTTTTTCTCCTTCTTTCGTTACGCTCCCCTCCCCCCTTTAATTTCGTTACTATTTATCCATATCTATCCGCTTCCATAATTCCAACCCCACTCCCTCTCTTCACTCACCGCCATTTTCATCTTAACCTTACCCACAGAACGAGACACTCATGTCCCTCAGTTATCTAAATGACGTCATAAGGATATAAGGAAAAGGTCGGCTAATGTTGGCTCATCCTCCAAAGATGTTCGGACGTGTCTGTAACTGGCTCTATTCAATCAGGAACAGGAAAAAAAATTGAGAAAGAAGATAATAAAGAGAAAAGAGAGAAAAAAGAGAACGAGAGAGAGGGAAAAATAGAATGGGATGAACAAGGTCGTCAGTAGCATATGAAAAAGTAATAGAAAGAAAGTGGATGTGATACACACGTCCGCACGCACGCACACACACGCACACACATATATATATATATATTGGAAGTGGGAGAAAAATATGATAGGTCTAAGTGGAAAATGCGTGAAAGAGATAGATAGATAGATAGATAGATAGATAGATAGATAGATAGATAGATAGATAGATAGAGAGAGAGAGAGAGACGTTCAATGGGATGGAGAAGGGGAAAAGGAGAGATAAATTGAGAAATACGATATAGTGGGAGGGTGTGGTAGAGAGAATAATAGCAAGAAATAGATGGAGAGACGCCGAGAAAGATTTATCAGTGAGAGTGGAAGCAAAGGAGAGAAAATGGGGGAAGTAAAGAGAAATGAGAAAAGAGGAAATGGAAAAAAAGACAGACGAAGAAAAGTGAAAAAAGATGAGAAAAGGATTAAGAAAAAAGAAAAGTGAGAAATGAGGAGAGATGAAGAAGGAAAAAAATGGACAGAACCCTTTTTAGAAATGTTCTCGGGATAAAAAGTTATAAAGATTCTCGTAAAAACTTTTACACACGCACACACACACAGAGACACAGACACACACACACACACATACATATAAGAAGTTTACGAGAGTCTTTATAAGCTTTTATGTTGAAAACATTCTTACGTTGAACTAGATATATAATATTTGACAATGCATAAAAAGATTGCAGTTAGTTTCAATTAGGCTTTTTTCCATGTAAAAAATCCGTATTATAGAAAAGTAAACGTACATTATCGATAGATTGGTGGACCAGAGATGTAAACAACTTTACGTAAAACAAAACAAAACAAAACAAAAACAAACAAAACAAAAACAAATAAAGCAAACAAAACACACGAAGACGAGAAGAAAGTAAAAAACAAAAAAAAAATGATAAAGAAATATCTCTGAAAAAGTCTGAAAATGCAAATAAGGTTCACGTTATCTTTCTCTTTCTTTTGTTTCTTCTTGCTTGCTTAATTTCAAAGTTATAGATAAGTCTGTTCATATCTATCTATCTATCTATCTATCTATCTATCTATCTATCTATCTATCTATCTATCTATCTCAGTCTGTTCGCATCTATCTATCCCAGTCTGTTCATATCTATCTATCTATCTATCTATCTATCTATCTATCTATCTAAGTCTGTTCGCATCTATCTATCTATCTCAGTCTGTTCATATCTATCTATCTATCTATCTATCTATCTATCTATCTATCTATCTATCTATCTATCTATCTCAGTCTGTTCGCATCTATCTATCTATCTCAGTCTGTTCATATCTATCTATCTATCTATCTATCTATCTATCTATCTATCTATCTATCTATCTATCCCAGCCTGTTTCTATCTATCTATCTATCTATCTATCTATCTATCTATCTATCCCAGCCTGTTTCTATCTATCTATCTATCTATCTCAGCCTGTTTCTATCTATCTATCTATCTATCTATCTATCTATCCATCTATCTATCTATCTATCTATCTATCTATCCCAGTTTCTATCTATCTATCTATCCCAGCCTTTCATCTATCTATCCCCATCCTCTATCTATCTATCTATCTATCCCAGCCTTTCTATCTATCTATCTATCTATCTATCTATCTATCTATCCCATCTATCCTATCTATCTATCTATCTATCTATCTATCTATCTATCTATCTATCTATCTATCTATCTATCCCCCAGCCTTTCTATCTATCTATATCTATCTATCTATCTATCTATCTATCTATCTATCTATCCCAGCCTTCTATCTATCTATCTATCTATCTATCCCAGCCTTTCTATCTATCTATCTATCTATCT